GCCCCACCCAGCCGCCTTCGCTGGATTGGGCCCAGGCCGCTGCTCAGGGCTCGGGTCTATCTGGCCATCGGATTAATATCCAGATATTAAGTAAACAATAAATTAGCAAAACTACAAGAAAATTTTACGGCCCTTTGCATTTGGCAATCATTGAGTGTTAATTAGAAATTCATTACAATTAAAACCCTGCCTAAACAGGGCCTGCGCGCCTTAATTACATCTGATTTTTAATTCAGAATACGTGTTTACACAGTAAGCGCTACGTACCCCATGATTATCCCCAATCCTCTTTATACTGTACTAATTATGTAAATTAAACCTAATTAACTGACGAAAACTGCCGTTAATTCAACTGGTAAAAGATATGTGCTTGCAGAGGAGGCGCGGCCGCCCAACCCCAGCCCAAGCCCGAGCCCCACTGGGCACCGGCGGCCTGGCCGCGTGGACGCGACGCCAGGGACCGGGAGGCAGCGCAAGCCGGCTGGAGCTAGGGGGCGCACTGGAGGCGTGTCTGGGACGCGGAGAGCCAGAGTCCCGCCACCGTGCAGAGAGAGAATACGCGTTATTGGGGGTCAGGGAGGCCGAGGGCACCGGCTCCCCGGCTCTGGACAGGGTTGCGGGACCTAGAGTTCCCTCCCAGGAAGAGGGTCCCTACCCTTCCCCCTCTGAGCCTGGGTTCAAGTCCCAGCTCTGCCAATCCCCTGAACCCGAGCAGGTGAGCTGGCTGTGCTAGGCCTCGGTGTCCTCCGCACCGAGCTTTGGGAGAGCCATAAAGGAAGCTCCCCGTGAGCTGCGCCACGCCGCACGCTCCGCATCGTCCCTTCACCGCCAGGCCCTTCCGACAGCGTACATTTTGGGTCCGAAAGACCAGGCCGCGCCCTTTATTGGCCGAGGAGCCTGGGTGGGTGGGCTTCCACTGCCTGACCCTCAAGTTTCCTGCCTGTAAAATGCCTGACCCTCAAGTTTCCTGCCTGTAAATGATCCCTACCCATTCCCAGTGCCGTGGTGAAAACCTGCTCAGCAAAGTGTAAACGCAGTCCGCAGTGACCGTAACCGACCGAACGCTGGTCCCGAGCAGAGCCCGGGCCCCTAACCCAAGACTGCTCCCCGGAGACCACACCCCGCGAGCGAGCGCCGGCGCCTCCCCAGCTTCTCCCCACCCTCCTTCAATCTTTCTCCAGCTTAGACTCGGGACGGAGAGAGGGGTGGGTCTCCTGGCTCTGGGACCCGGCCCGGGGAGCTGTCCGCCGCTTGGTGCTGAATGGGCCGCGGAGGCGACCCTGCACACCCCCTGGTGCGGTTACCCGGGGCCCCGCGGTCCCGCTGCTGGGCACACCCGAGAGGCCGGCCCCCAAGGAATTGTTGGCCCCGCAGTTCGCTGGAAGCAGGACAGGCAGGCCCGGTTCAGGGGGACCCTGCCCATTTGCTTTCCACTCCCACCCCCACCCGAGGGCGTCCTGCCTCCGCGGTCGTTGTCAGCGCGACCCCGAATTCTGAGATGCCTTGAAAAATCATTAGGAGGCGAAGGATAATTACCGAACTGGGTTGTGATTACGGGGTCGGGGCGGGGGG